AAGCGATTCTCTTGCCTCAGCCTCCTGAGTAGCTGGGACTATGGGTGCCCGCCACAACGCCTGGCTATTTTTTGGTTGCAGTTCAGCTGGGGCCGGGTTTGAACCTACTGCCCTTGAGATATGGGGCCGGCGCCCTACTCACTGAGCTACAGGCACCGCCCAAAATCAGTTTTGTTTTTTTTTAATTTGTTTTCAGACAGTCTCAAGCTGTCACCCTGGGTAGAGTGCTGTGGCATCATAGCTCACAGCAACCTCCAACTATTGGTCTCAAGTAATCATCTTGCTTCAGTTTTTCTATTTTAGTAGAGATAGGGTCTTGCTTTTTGCTCAGGCTGGTCTCAGACTCGTGAGCTCAAGCAATCCACTGGCCTTGGCCTCTCAGAGTGCTAGGATTACAGGAGTGAGCCACCATGCCCAGCCAAAACCAGTTTTTTGTGTGTCCCCACTTGCATAATATTATTACTGAAAGTTTGGCACTTATCCCTGAAGCTTCATTGGAAACTTCTTTCTCTTTTAGGAGAAAGAGTTTATTAATTTTTGCTGGCAAATAAAGAGACTGGCAGGGCGGTGCCTGTGGCTCAAGGAGTGGGCGCTCGCCCCATACATAGGAGGTGGCTGGTTCAAACCCAGCTCCAGCCAAAAAGCTGCAAAAAAAAAAAAAAAAAAGAGAGACCAGTAGACTTCTGTTTTGTAGTACCAACATCCTGCCTCTGAGCAGAAATACAGGCTTTTAGAGGGAGATATCCAGCTGCAGATTATTGTTTATAGTTGGTGGTTCTGATTCATCTCATTTTCAGCTAAGACAATCTCATGCCCTCCAATGGACAATCCCCTGGAGCCATCTCCTGTGGTAAAAAGAACAAAGGATACTCCCCAACCCATCCTGACCCCTGGCCTGAGGCAGAGATGCCTCAAACCTCTCTAAAACCTTCCCTAAAAAGAGTGGGGAAAGTTTTAGAGAGACAGAAAACATTTTTACCTTTTTAGGCCATTCTCCCAGTTACAATATAGTCTGCAATAAATGTTAAGTATTTGCTAAACAAATGAATGAATAATTCTTTTCTTTTTTTTCTTTGCAGTTTTTGGCCGGGGCTGGGTTTGAACTTGCCACCTCCAGTACATGGGGCCAGTGCCTTACTCTTTTAAGCCATAGGCACCACCCAGTAATTCTTTTCTTTCTTCTTTTTCTTTAGAGACTGAGTCTCACCTTGTTGCCCTTTGGTAGAGTTCTATGGTGTCATAGCTCACAGCAACCTCCACCTCTTAGGCTTAGGCAATTCTCTTGCCTCAGCCTCCCCAGTAACTGGGACTACAGGCACCCAGCACAACACCTGGCTATTTTTTTGTTGCAGTTCGGCCAGGGCTGGGTTCGAACCTGCCACCCTTGGTACATGAGGGCAGTGTCCTACTCACTGAGCTACAGGTGCAGCCTGAATAATTCTTTTCTTATAGCAGTCTACCCCAGGGAACTACCATTATTCTGAGTTATAAGGGATAATAGAAAAGTGAGAAATTATTGGTCAGAATCTTTACTTCATTTATTTATTTATTTATTTATTTATTTATTGTTTAAGAAAAAGCCTGTATTTCTGTTCACTTTGTTGCCCTCGGTAGAGTGCCGTGGCATCACATAGCTCACAGCAGCCTCCAACTCCTGGGCTTAGGCAATTCTCTTGCCACAGCCTGCCACAACACCAGCCATTTTTTTTTTTTAAAGACAGTGTCTCACTTTATTACTCTTTAGGTAGAGTACTGTGGCATCACAGCTCACAGCAAACTCCAGCTTTTGGGCTTAGGTAATTCTCTTGCCTCAGCCTCCTGAGTAGCTGGGATTACAGGCACCCAGCACAACACCTGGCTATTTTTTTGTTGCAGTTTGGCCAGGGCTGGGTTCAAACCCACCACCCCTTGGTATATGGGGCTGGCACCCTACCCACTGAGCCACAGGCACTGCCCTTCCTTACTTCATTTTATTCTTGGAGTTTCTGTGTTCCTTTGTCTTTATTAATATACTCACTAGACAATGAGACCATGGAAACCTGTTGAAGCTTTTGGAGTTCATGTATGAAAGGTAAGATTCACTAAAACACTTTCTACTTTTTATTTTGTAATTTTGAACACATTTTTATTTAAAAAAGTCACTGTAATTCAGTTATCAGTTAAAATGGTTTATTTCTTAAAGGTATTTTTACAAAGCATTCAAATCTTTTTATATTCTATATTAGGTATTCTAGCCTTTGATTTAAAACTCATTTTTGCTATGTATATTTTCTCTTAAATATATAAAGAAATATATTTTCATAGAGTATGTTGAAAATTAGGAAAATCAATAGTTCTGGTTCTGTCAGTTGTAGTATTTAGAGTGTTATTTTCATAAAATCCAGTTGCTCTGACGTAGTTTGAAAATGCTTGGTCCTTTGGAGTATAATTGCAGGGAAAAAACTGTGGCAAAGGTAAAAATTCACCATAATGACCTGAATTGGTTTTATACATAATCATCTGAGGTTTTGATAGTGAGGTTGCTGTATAGAGTGTCTTTGGGTCCAACATACATGAAAATACAGGATTGCCTGGGTTTACACAAGGAGGCAGTTGTTCAGGTTTCACTTCTGTGTCTGAATTTGTAGATGAAGTACTTTTCTTATCCTAAAAGATAAAACACATAAAATCATTCTCAATTATAAAGTTCTAAAAAAATTTAAACTTAGCCTCATCTACTCCTCTTTTTTGGGAATCTTGTTTTTTTTTTTTTCTTGAGACAGAGTTTTACTATGTTACCCTTGGTAGAGTGCTGTAACATCACAGCTCACAGCAACCTTCAACACTTGGACTCAAGCGATTCTCTTGCCTCAGCCTCCCATATAGCTG